AATAAAGCTGAAGCTACAAGAACTCTCAGTATTTCATGAAGTCCACTCCAGATGGGGTTGCTGTTACTGCCTGCCTCAAACCCAACACTTCTGGTTTTACAAGAAGACTGAAGAGAAAAATATTTGGTTATAAAGGTAATTTCTACATTATAGAATTGCAATAAATTACCTTCCTCCTCAGTGAGCCACAAAACCAAGTCTCTCACTGKTTTTCATTCATGCAGCACCTCTTAGCTCATTAAAATTTCTTGGTGGTGATCCCTTTGCTTCGTGCAAAGTGTATTTTTTGAGATCTGATGACAATAACTAAGAAGTGCTCAGTGTTTGTGAGATATAACTGTTAAAATTGCTATGAATCCATGAAATGATAAGAACAAGCTCCTTCTGTCCTAGTCTGTATGTGCATCTTTTTTCATGAAAAGGGAAAGGTTAGTTAGAAGATGTGCGCTCACTGTTTATAAAAGCAGAAGTATATTTAGTGTCAACACAATGCAGGTTGGAATTTCACACATTGCTGCACTGATGTATCRGATTGCAGTTATTGGTTAAAAGAGCAAAGGCTTATGAAGTGCTAGCTTTGTAACTAAAATAAAGGTCTAAAACCAAACGCATTTTAACCACCCAGCAAGACAAATACCACTCGGGAAGGACATTGCTCATAGAGGAATGACAGAACTTGGTAGAGCAAATGGGGCTGTCTGATCTATGCTAAATCAAGAATGTGGAGTTGTTCAAAACAAACCTCTGTGKTGTGTGATTCTCACGGTGTTTACAATATTTGTCAATCATAGGATTTTTTTTTTCAGWATTCTAAATATTATGTCACTTGTAGCCTCTTTGTTGAAACACACTTTGCTTCTTTAACTCATGACTGCTAACATACTTCTTTTGTGCCCCAAGCTTCCCTAGTGCTGCACAGCAGACATCTTCCACCACTGAACTGTTCTTTTAAAGACAGTGATTGCAAACCTGCTGCCACTTGGCCTGGCTCAGTGGGATCCTCACCTCTTCTGTTCTCCAGCCACAATACGTTTTGTATCCAGACACCCCACTACAGCATGAAATGACTACCAAGGAAACAGACATTGACTGCTTCATTCCAGTTTCCACATGACATTTCTTATCACAAAATACCTTTCACATCAATACTGCCTGAGATCAAGCCTGTCTGGCTGCTTTTTTTTTTTGACAGATATGCACAGCTCTGGAATGTCTGTTAATAATAATGATTGAGCTATAGGGCATTTCTTGGGAATTAATGATTGGCTGTAAAGTTCCATTGTCTCAGTTCTCAACATATGACTGTTCTCTCTAGTAGGTAATCAGTCCCATGGAAATGCTCAAAGGTTGCATCAACMTTGCTGTTATCACAAAAATAAATATAGCATTGTGAACATAATAATTGYTCCATATGTTCTAATTGTTCTGTATTCCTCAGATTTGCTACCACCTCAAAATTCAGGTTAGCACACTGACTTTCTCTCCKGATTTTACTTTGTCAAACTCTCTTATTTACATACAAAACCCTGCAAGAATCAGTTCTAAGACTATGTACAAATCCACACAGAATTCAATATACAGATTATGAGTGTATATGCTGATTCTATCTGACATGAGTATACATTGCTACTGAATTTACCAGAAAAAGTGTCTATTTCCTAAGTTCAAGTTGAACAACTAGCATTTCCACATTGTCTTGGGGAAAACAAGTTAAAGAAATTAGAGAGAAAATATAATAAGAATTTTGTATAAGGCTGGTGCCTAAAATAAGAATTCCCCTTAATTAAATGGATATGCACTTGAGTAAAGACAATGCTGTAGGTTCTAGGTGAAACATTCATCCTCTAAGTTATTTCAGAGGCAAAGAACATTCCTTATGGGATAAATCTGTAGAAAAGCAGGTAATTATTACTTGCCTTAAAGCAATGTCAAAAAGAGAAGTCTTGAAATTCTTGAAGTCTTGAAAGTGGAAGAGGATGGTGCTAAACTGGGAAATCTTTCATGTTTCTCAACTTGTTAAGCACAACTGAAATAAATGAGACATTTATTGACTGACTTCATTGAGAAAAGCTCTATGAAATCACACAATGACCCAAGATGTGCCTCAGTACTCTGTGTAATATTCATTTCTCTCAACTGGTTTTCCRGTTTCCATTATTATGAGTCATGGCTTTATATTTTGGTCATGCAGGTGATCTTAGAACTACATGCTGTGAAGGCATTAGAACACACTGCCACAGGTCCAGTAAGAAGGTTTGTGCCACAGTCTAGAACAACTGCAGTTCACTATCAGAATTCATTAAGACGTGGAATAGCTGAAATAACTTCACCACTTATACAACTAATAGGCAGAGAGAGCTTAACAACTAAAATAACTTGTAATTAATTAAGGATAGCACGATTTCTGGGTTCTGGGTTCCATGAGTCTGATTAAAGTATCTTCATGCTATAGAAAATATTTTTTTTCAAGGAGTTTTGATCATCCTCCTGTTTTCCCCAAGCACATGCCACTTAGGGTTGAGTTCTGATCTCATGGACCTAAATCCCACATATGTCAGATGTCCTTTGGGCCTCTTTTTTTTGTAGGGGAATTCTTAAGGAAAACCCTAGGAACACAGCAAAACAAGAAACTTGTACCATATTTAGTCAGGATTAATAACCCATAAAATAAATCGGTTTTGGATGYTATTATTTCTGCACATGTTTAGCACTAATCATGCAAAATATTTAAGCAGCTTTTTAGCCATCAAATAAATCAACAGGGAAACTTGCATAATCTTAAGTGCTTGACAGGACTGGACCTTCAATGTCTCTAGATGCAGTAACAAGTATGGAAAAGATTCATTTTGTGCAGTATTTCCAGCACAAACTGCATCACAAAGTGTTAAATAATAAATAATAGCAGAGAGAAGTATACACAAGGGAGGAATGATATGATTTCAGAGGAGACTTGAAAGGGGAGGTTGATGAGGTGGAGGTTTTAAGAATTAAATATTAAAACCCAGAAAGGCTGGTTTTTGGCTGGGACTGATTGTTTTTTTTTTCTCTCTGCTGAGAAATAAAGGGGCTTTCTAACCTATCTCCTGGACAAAGATGCCAGGCTTACTGTCAAACTGTTCAGTGGAATCATCACTGTACTTAGAGTCTATTTTTAAGAGAAGGCAAAGGATCACAATTAGCTAACTACAGCCCTCTCCGATTCCAAACGTCTGCTTTGTCCTCTGCCTCACCTTTCTGTTTATTTACCACGTAACAACTCCACACGGACTTGGCCCAAGTTCCTGAAGAGCGCCAGGGATGCAGAGGGAGAGGGAGAACAGCCTGGCACAGCAGAGCCCTGCACACCAGCCTTCCTCGGGGACAAGGGCAGCCCGCAAGGCCACAGCAAGGCACCCACAGCCGTGCCCCGAGGAAAAGGGAAACGGCTTTCAGCTCCAGCCCACACTGTTAAATCACGCCATAGTGGGATTATTTCCTACATTTGGTGGCAGCATAGTATTCAGGATAATATTATTGCTACTTGCACAGGTTACTGCYGAACCGAACGACAGAGATGAGAGAGTTAAGTAACAGGGATGGAGAGTGAATCACTGAAAAGTCTTTCCTAGAGTCAGTTCTCTGTTTGGGGGAAGTTATTTCAATTCTGTGTCTCGCAAACAACCCGCTGCCTGACTGTGTCCTCTGGAGCCAACTGACTGACATTATAAGGAGATTTTTAAATAAATGATGTGCAGGAGCAGCTCATGTTTAGCAGACAAAGCCCCGCTCGGCAGCACGCACTGCGAGTACCGCTGTACCTGTGCTCGGCGCGCCGGGGCGAGGGCAGCGCCCGCTCCCGCCCGGCCTTAGCGGAGGTGCGGCCCCATGGACGCCGCTCCGCCCGCGGCACCTGCCTTCGCCTCGCAGGTGAGTGCGGCTCCGGAGAGCGCTCGGAGAGGAGTTCCCGGGAGAAGGAGCGCCGTTACTTATCGACAAAAGGGCTGTCCTGCCGCGGAGCTGCCCCCGGCTCGCCCAGCCCGTTCCGGCTGCCCCTCACTCCGCTCGGCGCGGGGCGGGCTGAGGGAGAGAGGGACGGAGAAGCGCTCCCGCGCTTTTGGGGTGGCACCTGTGGGGAGCGCCCGCCGGGGCGGGAAGTGTCTTATGTAAGGGATGGCGGGGAGCGGGTGAGGGGGGCGAGGCGGGGGTCGGSTCTGCRGCGGGGCTGATGCGAGGGGGGACAGCCCCACAGCGGGGCTGGAAGGGAGAGAGAGAGAGAGAGAGAGAGGGAGGGAGGAAGGGAGGAAGGGAGGAGGGAGGGAGAAGTCGCCGGCCCCTCAGCGGGGCTGCCGGGGGGGACAGGCGAGCGGGCAGCCCCGTCTCTGGCGCGCAGCTTCCAGCGGGTGCCTCAGAGGACGGGCTAGGTTTTCCGCGCTGCCACCGCGCTCGCCCGCCCGCCGCGGCGCATCTCCCTTCCCCGCCGGCTGGATGCCGCGGCGGGTCCGTCCAGCCTCCCGCGCCCTGCCCTGGCAGCCCGGCCCCGGGCGGGGCTCGGCGGGMGCCGCGGGTGTCTGAGGGAGTTGTGCAAGAGACCGCGCCGGGCYCCGCGGGGGAGCGGAAGGTGGGTGCTCTCGGCGCCCCGCGCTGGCACCAGGCTGCGGGGAGGCTCCTCGTTCGCCCTCTCTCCTCCTCCCCGCCCCTGCAGCGCCTTCGCCTCAGCCCTCCCGCTGGCGGCCCCTCCACGCCCCTCTCTCCAGCCCGGCGCGGTGCCCCGCACGCCGCCGCCACCTCCACCCCTCGGTCCTCCTCCTCCTCCTCTTCCTCCTCCTCCTCCTCCTCCCGCGCTCGCTCTCACGCGCACTCCGCTCCACAAGTGCCGCGCGCTCGCTGCTCCGGAGCGGAGCGGGGACGGGCTGCGGACCCTGCGCGGGGCTGCGGACCCTGCCCGGCCCGTTCGGGGCTGTCCGTGGTGCTGGAGGCGAGCGCGGGCTGAGCGGACGCCCGGCCCCTGACGGAGCCCCTTTATGTTCAGCTCCTGGCGCAGCGCAGCATCCAGCAGCTCGAGCGGCGGCGGCAGCAGCATCGCTGAGCCGGGGCTGGGAGGCAGAATGGAAGGCTTTATTCGGCTGCTCTTCGGCTACTTGGTGGCGGACCTTCTCACGCTGGTTTGTCGGGCTCAGGAGAAAGCTGGTCAGCAGCTGGGGAGCTTTGTGGTACTCTCGGGAGGAAACCAATCCAGCCTCGGGGAACAGATAGACCCCTCCGAGCCACCTCCTACCCCAGACTTCTGCAGGGGCTACTTTGACGTGATGGGGCAGTGGGACCCCCCCTTTAACTGCAGCTCGGGGGAGTTCATCTTCTGCTGTGGCACTTGTGGCTTCAGGTTTTGCTGCAAGTTCAAGAAGACAAGGCTGGATCAAAGCACCTGCACAAACTATGAGACGCCGTTGTGGATGAACACTGGGAAGCCTCCTTCCCGCATAGACGACCCTCTGCATGACCCTACCAGGGATAAAACCAACCTTATTGTCTACATCATCTGTGGTGTTGTAGCAGTCATGGTGCTGGTGGGGATCTTCACCAAACTAGGGCTGGAGAAGGCACACAGACCCCAGCGGGAGCACATGTCCAGGTAAGGCTGAGTGCCAGTCAGCAGGGTCCCCTTCCCCCTACCTCCTGCCCAGCCCCTAGAGAGGAGAGAGGAGCCCATGTGTTCCTGCCAAACAAACAGCTCCTGCCAGGCAGGCTGCATTCCCCTGCAAGGCAACAGAGAGAGACCAACTTTGCTGAGCAGAGCTCCTCTGGTGCCCCCAGTCCAGGTTATCACAGAACATGCATGTTGAGGAAGAGTAGGAATAATTGTGGAGTCTGCACAGACAGTAGTCCATTTTTATCTGCAGTGCCCGACCCTCTCCCTAACAAGATCCAGCAAGTGTTCCTGGATATTCTAGGCATAAATAGAAAAACAACAAAAAAAATTTCTGAAACCAGCAACACTGAATTATAGAAAGCTTGATGTGTTCCTTCTTCCAACTATTTCAAAGATTGGAAAATGTTTTTACTTTTCAACAGAGGGATGTAAACAAATGCCATTTCACCCTCCCTCTCCAGCTGCAAAATGGTTTTGGCAGGACCTTCCCTACTCCCCCAGCCCTTGCAAGTGTGTGAGCTATTTGTAAAATTTCTAAGCTGTGAAAATGAGTCAGGGTGGAAGGGAAGAGGAAGACACAAAAAGGAAAAGCTATTGTAGAATTTCTTTTTCAGTTACTGTTGAGAGGTAAAAAATGAAATATGAAAGTCTTGTCTCATCCATGCATGTGTATGTTCTAACTCAGTATCCACACTGTAATGGCTGAGTTATATCAAAGAGAACCTCCCCCACCTAGAGTTAGGCATGCTGTGTACCATCTACTCCAGATCCTGCCTGCCTAGTGGTGGATAGGCAGGTGGGCAACTCAGGACAGAGCCCAATGGCTTTAACAACATATTCCAAACCCACATTGTCACAGCAGTTCAAAATCAAGGCATAACACATTTGTCAAGTTTGCAGCCTGTCTGATTCTTTATGCTAATCCCAGGCACATGAAAGTAAAGCAGATGGGAGAAAGGAATTAAAAAAGGCAAACAGATCCATTAAAGAGTCTAAATAGATCCCAGCATACTGGGCAACTTTAGTGGTGAAATGCAATGAAAGGATACCTTCTACTGGACATACAGTGTGGCAGAAAGCTTTCTCTTGCCCTGACTGCTAATATTGTAGCTCACAATCCTCAAAGCTTAGATGAAGAGTCATCCTTTAAAAGATAGTCCAAGAAATCAACTCAACACCTGGAGCCTCATTTTTTACTGAAGTTTCTGCATGACTTTTTGATTAACTGCTTATCCTGAAATGAACAGAGAAAGTCACAGAAATACTCCTGCAAATGCATCACCAGTCCATGAGCTATTTTTTGCTATTTATAAWCTGGCTGATATGGATACGCTTTTACTACTGAGGAAAAAAGCATATTGCAGAAATTTTAGTCAACTTAACAGCGTGTGTCAGTGATRCTTCTGCAAAAATGGTTTTTGTTGAGCAAGGTATGATAATCCTTTAGAGATTTTGCATAGAAATTGAGAAAAATAATACATGGATTCCAATTTATTTTTTAAATCTTATTTTTAATCTTCAGAGCTTGTTTGGAAAAAGCTCTCACTTACTTCAGTCTCTCTCTCTCTACTGTCTTTGTGCAGGCAAAAAAGAAGGGCTCGTAACAGTCACAAAGCCCAGAACAGTGAAGTTGTAACCTCCCTGCAAATTATGGCTTAAATAGATCCTGTTTCTATGAGTAGAAGTATTTTCTATCTAAAGTACAGGTGTGAAGTATTCTGAGAGAATATTCTATCTGAGTTTATGGAAATAGAATTATGGAGGATTGGAAAATCATTCTGATGTCCTTCAGTCATGTATGCATAAAGATTAGGTTTCTGAAGTGGGTCTTAGCAAAGGTTGTCTCTTACCTTGATTACTTAACACTGTCTGTGATCTTGTACATGAAACTGTTCAAGGGAGGATTAGGTAGAAACCTGGAAAGTCATGATCACATGGAAAAACAGTCACCCACTCAGAACACATAATAGCTAGTCATGTTCTGAAAAAGCAGCTCTGTAGCTTTTTTTTTTTTTTTTTAAAAAAATAACGTTCTCACACTCTTATTCCAGTTGTGGGATGGGTTTACCATTAGTTTTAAAAGGAATTAGATTTGTAAATCCCTTTGACAATCTAAAAATATATTAATTGAGTGAAGAATTGAAGTAACCTCTGAGTCCTCAAGTGAGTGTTTAACTAAAATATTCCATTCTACCTTATTTTACATTGTTAATGCTCTGAAAAAAGGCTGCAATGCTTAAGAGATAATTTACCTGTTCAAACAGTCAATAGTATCAACAATTAATATAACATGTAGGCTATGTTCATAATCACCTTTTATAATATTCATCACTACAATATCAGAAAAAACAAAACAAAACAGAACAACTCCTGTTTTTTTTTTTCTGTACTGAACTTGATTAATAAGCAGAAGTTTAATGCATTGAGAGTGTTAGGTAGGCCAAAGCAAAAGTACTAAGTGTTACTCCATTTTGGCTGGCAGCAAGAAACACACAGAATGATTTGTCATCTATTTCCTTTGCTAAGATTGTCTCCTTTCCCTTGCCTAGCCAATGGCTACATAAAACATTTGAATCCCCTTCATTTCTATGAAAAAAATCATCTATGAAAGAGATGATACTCCTTATCAAAAAAGACAATGCATAATGGAAACTGATTTTTTTTTAATGGGTGCTGATTTTGTAGGAAAAATTAACAACTGAATACAACTGGTGCAAATTATATATTTCCATTTTTGATTTATTAAAAATATTTAAAAATAAGAACAGAGATGTGACGTGGAAACAGGAACATTGACTTCTAAATAAGATGCAAAACTTCCACACTTTTTAATTCCCTGCCTTATTTCATCTTGCAGTCAGTAGATCTGCTGTTGAAGACACTGGTGGGTGTAAGAGTAGTACAATGTTAAGAAAGAAAAGTTYCTTTATTAACTGAGCATAGCTTCTATACAACTGCCTTTCATTGAATTTTGTTTACTGCTATTCCAAAACAAACCAAGAACACACCATTAACATCACTGAATTTTCCTGAAATATTTGTCAATGAAAAAACCTTTGTGGAAATGCATTTGTTTAGTGAAAACAATCCATAGGAAAAAAAAAAATCACTATTGGACAAGTCTCTTTAGAAAAAAAAGTCAAGACTTGTCCTAATGTAGAGAGTTTGTTACTTACTTTCGTTTTGAGGAAACAGGCCAGGTGTGGCACTGTTGACATTTTCTTTCTTGTCAGATCAGTGCTTTTCAGTCCAACACCCTTTCTGTTAGCACGGAACTGTAAATCTGGAAGATGAACATGGAGAGGGGAGTACAGTATTCATTCTGCATGGTATATTTCCTTTTAGACATCCTATGTTTTGTTTCTCCTCATTTTGAAGTTTGTTACTTGACGTTAAAAGGAGATAAGTATTCCCTTCAGCTAGTGTCCAAGATTAAGCAGCAACAGTAGTATCTAGATAAGCTCTTCCTTTACCTTCCTGTTTTTGAGGAGAATAAGGAAATCAGATGGTGGATGAGAGAGCTCTGGYAAAGGGGAGGGAACGTGGCACTGTTGAGCATGAGAGGACACAGATCTAAGCTGCCTGCTGAAGCAGACCTGGAGCTTTGTCAGGCATATGAGGGCAGCACGTTCTTGCTGCTTGAGTCTACACCAATGGGCCTTCCAGGCTCCATCAGTGCAAGTGGAGAATTCTCTCTCAAAAATGAATAGAAAATGAAAAAGCTTTACTTCTGTTGCGTGGAGGAGATTTTTCTGTAAATAMAACTGCACTTTTGTCTTCTTCCTTAATCCTCATGGAGAATGTGCAAACAAACCAAGAACTGAAAGGACAACATTTACAATAGTGCTCTTTTGCTATAACTCCTGATTTCTGAAGCAGTGCTTCCAACAGTTAGCAACCTTCCAAATGTGGCAAATCATCTGAACTCTACTTTCTTCCTTCACGAGGAAGAAAGTGCCCAGTGCTGAGCTCACAAGCAAAATCTTTTGTTGATCATCAAAAGGCATATAATTGGGGCCAAAAATAGCCYGACTTGCCAAAATCCTGAATCCTACGTGTGAAATTATCTCCCTTATGGGTTATGACCCAGTTTTGGAGGCAAAATACGACAAGTGACCTTTCATGAAATAGCCTGTAGTTCAGCATATATTCATAAGGGAAATGCCTGGCTCCATATGCTTTATAACACCCCAGGCCAGTACTATGTATCCAAAAAGCAAAATCTTATGGCAAGAGAGACGCTGAAGTTTTGGAATACTTGGATAGTTCTGGGCCATGAACTTCCTTGTTGGTAACACTTCTCCATTTCTRTAATGCTACAATCAGTATCACTGCACAGGTCCTAGTGATCTTGCTCCCTGATTAGAAAGCTACCTTGCACTTTGCATTTCCTTAAAAAAATCATTCAGTATACCAGAGGTGTAGATAAAGACCCTCTGTGTAAATATAACTTTTCAATGGGACTGACTATAACAATTTCTTCAGATAATGAACAAACTCTATATGACTATATTTCGGTGAGATAAATGCACAAAGGTATTATAAAAGTCTCCTGGCCTGTGTGGARTTTTTCAAAGCAAACATCTGTTCAAGGATTTTGTCATGTACTGGGGAACAAACCTTCCTTCATTCGTTTCATTATATGGCCAAATCCCTAAAAGAACAAAATGCAGGTACAGCATTTCCTTTGTACTTCACTGATCCCGAAGCTGCTACACATTGTTAACTCTCCCTGACATCAGGGGATAATAAGGACATGCTCTCAGTTATATGAGCTATTCTGCCCTGAGAAGATTGTACAACTTTGGCTAACACAGTATAAACATTGCTGTGTTATTAAAAACAGAACTTGATGGTGAGTAGTTCTTCTTTTCTTAGTACAGAAGAAGAGTTGGACAGCTAATTCCTTAAAAACCATTTGAAAAAAGCCACCCTAAAATGGTAGAAAACTTAGCCCTTGCATACACAGGCAGTAGTTAATCTGCTRTCATACAGGGTTTTATTTAAAGTCTACAGCAAACAATATTTACCATCAGATTAAGAGCAATGAGAAAAGGATTTCTGAAAACCCACTCTCACAAAGTTGGGAAATACTTAGATCTCACTGTTTYAACTCCCACACTGGAGTCAGCAACTTTTATTTACTTTTCTTCCTTCCCCAAAAATGTGTCCAGCTGCCTCTGGAATTAGAATGAATATTGATGTCAATAATTTCCTCTGTATAGAGACATATTTGCATAAATTGACTAGATATTAATGGGTTTAGTCTCCATTTATTTTAAATTATTTTGAAATTTAATGCTTTCTTTTTGCATCATTTCTACATGTCTTTGTGAGATCTATTCTATTGAATTTTTATTATTCTGCTATGTAGGCCAGCTCTGCTACTTCTGCTGTATAAGCACTATTTTAAATGGGAGCATTACTCTGACACCATTAATCATTTGGTTACTGTCTTCTGACCTTTTACAGGATCAACAGAGTATTCTCTAACAGGTTGATCACAACTGTAACTAATATTTTAATAACACAGTGTTAGCCATAAACACAAAAAAAATCAGTATTGTTTAGCTGTGTACCAAAGCAATGTTACAGCAATCTGAAAACAAGATCCAGCTCAAAATTTCCCTCTGTAACTTAAATTAAGCTAGCTACTATTTAGTATTTAAAAGCACAGTGCTGCTTGATTGAGAAACCATCATGTCACAGATGTACAGTGGAGAAGCTAGATGGCACTTGCCATGGCTTTCACCAATGAATGTGCTTATTTTYATTTATTTATTAGTTTATAAGCTAATATTTAATGATGCAGTATCTGGGACACGGTATGTAATTTCGCAGAAAATTAAACTGAACTGGGCATAGTGCCCAGAAAATGTGACCACACCCTTTAAAAAATTGCTCAAGAGGTCTAAAAATTAAAAATAATAAACCTAAAAGGAGGTAAATAATGGTCCATGATGCATTGACCTGAATAGAAAAGATTTGCGTTGAACCCTGAAGACACAGGTAACACATACTACAGCYTTCCTTTGCCTAAGGCAACAGCATCTGCAGGTGGGTCAATTATTTCCTGGTGCACAGTAGTTCAGCAGGTACTGGGGCACACAGCTTAGGGCTAATCCTGCTCCTATGGAACTCTGGCAAAATTGCACAGACTCACAGAGTTAGATGTTGCCATGCTGGGAGTTTCAGAGCTTAAAACTTTGTCAGTAACTCCAGATCCACAGAGCTGATCCAGGTGTGTGTGTGTTTATCCGTGTGCCTAAGGAGGGACTTCACTCAGCAGGACACTCACCCCTAAAATATCCACCAGAGCAGGATGARTCTGTCAGACTGCCTGGAGCTCTGCAGAGCAAGCCCCACTACCAGCATCAGGCTGGGCCTGGCCTAACTTGGAACCTTTTGCTTACTCCCTCTTTGCTAGCAGAAAGCTTTCATCCTGTTTCCRAAGTGGCTTCAAAGGAGCAGGGAGTGTTCCTGTGCAGGCTTTGCTCCATGTTAAAGACTGGGACACTCACAGAAGGTAGAAAACGACTTTTTTTATCTCCCCTTCTGGATGAGAAATCCTTAAATCCCTGCTTACTTTAATGATTTCTACATGAAAGTTACATGACTTTGCAACTTCAGTGACACTTTTGAATGAAAATTGTGAAGACCAGTGTGTTGTGTGTGTTAGGTGCAGATGCATGTGTGAGAATTTCCTTTGCCAGGCCCTGCAGGTAATCTAGGCCTGAAGATAACTAGTTTGTGGTAGACATGGGCTAGGTGCTGAGGAGCTCAGCTTAACCATGACTGCAGTAATTTTACTGAGCAGTGGCAGAACTCTACAAGTCTCAAGAAGCTTAAATTATGTTCCTCCAAAGCTGAGACACCTAAAGAACTAAATGTGTTTCTGTGTTTTACTTCTAGCACACTGTCTAAGACAACCTAAAAAGAGCCTTAGGTGTGAAGTCTCACAATGAATTTACTTCCCTGCGTTTATTGTGAAGGGAGTTGGTGTCTGCAGCAGACATTGTGATCAACTGCATCTCAAACTGAAATAGATCTTGGAACATATTGTTAATGTCTTACAGATTTTGCAGATTCATTCTGGTTCTGTTTGGTTTTTCAGGGCTCTTGCTGATGTTATGCGACCTCAAGGTCCTTGTACGACAGATCACATGGAAAGAGATCTAAACATTGTAGTACATGTGCAGCATTATGAAAACATGGAGACGAGACCTCCTCCAAATAACTTACGTAAGTTGCATTTTAACTTTATCAATATCTGGAATGCTGGCACTGAAATGAGCATTATGAAACAAATAYTGCTGAATGTCAAATGAGGATCAACAGCACATGGGTTCTTGCAAATGAGAAATAGTCCTTATCAGAATCTGAAGTATTTAGAATTCTCTAGTKCACCTTAGTGCAACAGTGAGAGAAATRAATTTTGAATAGGAAAATTAGTTAYTATATTTGGTTTTAATTCRTTTTCTTGATTGRCTAATATTGRTTTTGTATCTTTGTCTCTTTCTACCTGGTGTTTTTGCTCAGCTCATCAATCTTTGCCTTACTCTGTGTTTTGTTGTGGTTGCAGCCAAAAAAAACGTTTCATAGGGCTGTAACACCCAGTAATAAAATGATCTCATTATGCTGTTAGATCATATCCACTAGTGAAATAATTAAATATTCCCTGGATAGCATCAAGTTATATTTCATTTTCTCAGGCGAAAGGTGAGAAGAAGATTATTATTTTAAGTTTTACATAATATTTTTGTTCTGTATTGCTATTACATGTTTATGTTCTTGAAAGCAAAAAAAAAAGTGCACCTTGGAGCTTCAGAGGAGATATGGTGACATATCAAGTGGTTCTGAAGTCCTAGATGACTTATTTCTCAGTCTGTGTGAGAGCATAGTACAGATCTTTCTCATGCTCAGATACATATTCCTCTTGTGATGAACAATGMCACTGCAAATTGAATTTGGATGTATATTTATGTAACTCATATACACACGCTTAAATGATGGATATATTTACAAAATCAAGTTCAATATATGAAATAAAAAAATACCAGTCAGGAAAGTTTAGATTGCTAGGCAGTGGATGGCTTTATTCTGTGCTGTGGAWCAATGTAGATATGGATTTTAGTACAGATAAGCTTTTACTGCATTGGTGTTTAGATTTTGAAACATTTAAAGTATGTGCAGTAGTCTTTTCCTTAACTATAGAAAGAAAATTTGCTGATATTTGGAATTTTATTTGGACTGCTTTGTGCAGTTATTGGTGCTTTCTTTCTGTGGAAGGGGGTAAAGACAATGGGAGAAGAGCTTATTCACACACTGCCTGCACCCCTGGTGCCTGTTTTGTGGGAGAGGCTGATGGCCATTCCTTAGGCGCATCCTTACAGAGTAACGGGAGAGAATTAAAGCTCGAATAAAGGTACCCCATAGAGGGAAATGGAACAGCTCATCTGTCWGCCCTGCTCTCCAGCAAACTGCTTCCACCTGGGGCTGTGCAGATGTGCAGATGTGCAGTGCAGAGGGGGAAGGGCACACCCTGTGTGAAAACACACCACTTCTGGAGCGGAACTTAGGCTGCTTCCTCAGTCAGGGGTGCTCTAATGCCTGCAGGGAGCTGAGGTGTGTCTGCAGGGCTAAGGAGGATGGGGTGTGCACTGTATCTCTTTGCTCTGTTTATAAGATCCTTGCTGATGTCTGATCCTTCCCATGACCATGTTTGCAAGAATGGTACCAAATAGTAATGAACTTTGGGTCCAATCTTTGTTTTCTCTCACATGTGAAGTGTTTATTCAGAATCCCAGTTCATGAAGGAGCCTGAAAATAAAGTGGTTCTTACTGTATTGATTTGATTTGTAATGATCAATTTATTTTTGTAATGATTACAGAGATATTTTGCTTAAAACGTAAAATATGACAATACAATACATGACATAAAACTACAAGCCTTTAAGCGCATTGTTTCCTGCCTTTGAATTCAGATTTAAGCCTTGCTTCTAGGAACTCTTGCATATAAATGCAAGGGCCGCGTAGTTATTGCATCAAAGAAGAAAAAGGAATACTTTCAATAGGATGTTGGTTTGTGTTGACCCCAGACATCCATTCCACCTCTGTGTCAGAATATGGCCCTCTGGAACAGATGGAAGAATTATAAGTGAAGCAGCTTGTGCACCACTGTAATTTCCAACACAGAAGCACTGCTGCTGCTTTGGAGCCATCTAAAGTCTCTGGGTCATGTGTAGGAGCAGTCCCAACAATGATTCACATGCATCTCAAGCATTGCTGCAACAAAAGGAAACCTCAGAAGCCAGCAGCTCTGTTGGTAATTATTTCACTCTTTAATCAACTTATSCATTAAGTCAATAATTTTAGATTGTTCAGTGTAAAGCTTCAAGTGGTGAAATTACTCAAGGCATTCTATAATGAATGTATTGCATATATTCACTTCATAGCAAGTGGACTGCTGTTCTATATTTGTTGCCATTTTATTCTCATAAATTCATGTAAAACATGACTAAATGACCTACTAGAATTAGCCAGAACATCACAAGAAATTGAAATCTGTTGAAAGCAGGCATTTATGGCATAGGAAAAATAACCTTGATGTAAAGACATATTATTAAGACAAATTTTTCAAGGTCAGTATCTTAGCAAATCAGGATTTTATAGTGAAGTTCTGAAACACTGCAAGAGTGGATATTGCACAGAAATTTTAGCAGTGAAACATTAGCTACTACTAGTGCTAGAAAAGTGATAGGTTTTTTRGGGGTGCTTTTAAATAAGCAAATAAACCAGAGTGAATCACAGCTTTCATAGAAATTCTATTCCAGATCTTTACTCATACAGAGAAAATGAAATTGTGTAAAATTATTGCATCATAAACTTTAATATGCATTTTTAAAGTTTTCTAAGTTACTACTTTCTATCTACTTGCCATCTCATAATGGGAATTAAATATTTGAGACCGATACACTTTTCACATTTATCCATAGATATGAAGACAGCATATAATTTCTTAGGCATTATGTGCCCCTTCCATACTGTGTGTTTCAGAATGCTGAAGACAAACTGTTGAAGGCCAAACATTATTAAAAATGTTCTGATTTGAATGTTCATTTGCTCTTTCTGTCCTCTTGAAAACGTTTTTGCTGATGTTGCCAACACGTTMTGAAAGTGTTTTGTGAAGGGAAGCTCTTTTGTCAAAATGACAAACTTCAAATGCTCTCTGACACTGCAAATGAGTGTGCTTCTGTTTCAGGACTGTTCGTTACCAGAGGACAAGAAGGATTTTCTCTGGTGCCTGCAGCTATTTGCCAAAACTTGCAGGCCAGGGGAAGGCCAAAAGCCTTTTGGAGCCTCTTGCAATTTACTCAGTTTCTTTTCCCTTCTTTTTGATATTCAGAAAAGAACAGACAGATTAGAGGTTCCTGAAAAACAATTTTTTTCTTTGCCCATGTGAATCCAGCCAACCTAGATAACTGTTGGTAAGAACTATTTTGTCCTTAGCGGTTGTTGTCATAATTTTTTCCAGTACTGTGCTTTCCTTAGGATTGCTTTTCTGTTGTTCCCCTTCATTCACACACATTAGAATGTAGTGGTGCTTTGTAAACAAGCAGCAGATATCCATCAAAAACTATAGCACTCAAGTCTTCTAACATGAGACGGTAAATAAAGTAAAAAAGTTATGCTAAAAACATTAAACCTAAAACAAACCTTTCTGCAGAATTTTGTGTATGAACACAGAGATGACTTACTTTCAGGAATCTTAAGAAAGCAATAGCATTCAAGGTGTTCTTTTCTGTTCTTGGTTTTTGCTGGGGTTTTTTTTTTTTTTCCTACTTACTGTGTTAGAAGTGAGGGACTTACTGAACTTGTTGGGATTATAACAGTGATGGAGTGGGAGTTAGGAGGCTTCGTAGCTACATCCTCATTTCTGAAACGTGATTACTGCTATTATTTCTGATTCATGATCTATGATAGCAGAGTGAAAAATACTTCAGTTAGTGCAATTCATAGTCACTTTTCCTAATGATCAGTAAAAGCTCTGTTACTCTTTCCCAATAAACAGCTTTGCACTAGTAAATTTAAACAATTTATGCAGACTCCCAAGATAAAGGTGACTTTAAGAGGAAGCCAATTATAGATTAAGGAGGTTTYAAGATGAAAAATGCTAGCTTTTAGTTAGTTTGACATGTATGAATTATTTCTTTGTTTTGAATTTAYCTTTAAAAAGTGGATTTTAATCACCGTTCAAAGAGTGAAGTGTTGCACTGTTTCAAATGGCCAGTTTTAATACTAACTAAGGATTTGCAGCACGTGATTAAAATGACCTTTTTTAAAATATATTCAGCGTTGTGTTTGCTGCTGCATTTGATTGTCAGTTGTCCTGGATACTGACTCACAACAAATGCTAATGCTGAAAACAAAGCTATGCCATTTCTGTAACTAATGTCTTGTGATAAGTTAACTTTTGTTTTTCTGTTATTTCCGTGTTGAGACAGTAGGCATTTAATTAGGAGGGTATTTTTTKAAGTCCTTGTACATTAGAATAAAAATTCTAATTGCATATTCAATTGCATATCCCTGTTCTTCTCCCCATTTCTGCACATAGAAGCTCAGTCTGTTTTCCAGTGAGAGGAAATGTCACTGTTTGTCACAGGTTGTCACAGTTTGACACTGTGAAAATAGTTAGAATTAGCAAGAATATTCTGCTGCCTTTCACACCTAGTGAACAAGCTTTTCCTTGTAGTTGTCTTTGGCARAAGAATTATTTTTATGTTTAACATACATAACATGTTTAAATCAGATAATTCATTGTCTTGGTTTGCCTAAATGCGATTCCTACAATCGGTGATGGGAAATAAGCATATAGTTWTGTTAAGAAACTTGAGTAAAGAGAAATAGTGTTGTTCAAAACATAAAGTTCATGAGGCATATCACACATGAGAGCTCATTTGCTTCCACAGTGACTGTTGGACATTTAGCTGTATGATATAGATGACATAGTTTAGGATGTGCAGCATTATTGTAACATTATGCTTCTGGTGACAGGGACCTTGAAACTCCACCAAACCTCTTGTCTGGACAGAGGGCTGCAAAATCCAAAGCACTGAGCAAAAACCAGTTTGGCTTCATTGGTGTCTGGGTTGTTTGATTACAGTGAAATGCTTTTTTAGGCCTGGCTTTGTGCATGGGTCTAGCCCACAGGAATTGCACTGKTTTTTTCATAAACTTTAACT